TTATGTAGAATCTGTGTAATTCGTGTGATAGTCTGTAGAGCTATGATAAAAACACATTATCAGAAACACATGTTAATGTAGAACACGTGTAATTCGTGTGATAGTCCAAAGAGCTATGATAAAAACACATTATCAGAAACACATGTTTATGTAGAACCTGTGTAATTCGTGTGATGGCCTGTGGAGCTATGATAAAAACACATTATCAGAAACACATGTTTATGTAGAACCTGTATAATTCGTGTGATGGCCTGTGGAGCTATGATAAAAACACATTATCAGAAACACATGTTTATGTAGAACCTGTGTAATTCGTGTGATGGCCTGTAGAACTATGATAAAAACACATTATCAGAAACACATGTTTATGTAGAACCTGTGTAATTCGTGTGATGGCCTCTAGAGCTATGATAAAAACACATTATCAGAAACACATGTTTATGTAGAACCTGTGTAATTCGTGTAATGGCTTCTAGAGCTATGATTAAAAACACATTATCAGAAACATATGGTTATGTAGAACCTGTGTAATTCGTGTGATAGTCCTCAGAGCTATGATAAACTTACTCCGAGAGGTAAATATAGTATTTCAGTTGCAAATTTTCTCTGTTACAACAGTAAATCATTACAAATGCTCTCGTCACTAATATATGTACAATAACAATGAATTATACTACAAATGATACACTTTTTCACTTGTGACAGGGATATATCTTAATAAGATTTAATTGCTCACAATGACATTAATAATATAAGGACACTTCTTCCTTTTCAATATCAATACAAATATCTTATGATATGCACAAGTAATTTACAAGGCCCGCATTCAATAATAATTTAGCGAGATAGCGCATTTGTTTAACTATGTATTAAACCTGCTGAGATTCTTATCGAGTTGGTAAGTAACTCTCCCGGGTTATTATAGAAACGTTTGCTACCTTAGGTGTGAAGACTTTATATTTGAACACCACTTACATACTTATAATGTTTGTTTAATACCTATCTCCCCTGTGTGTCCCCTTTAAGAGGCCGTGGTCCTTTGTTTTGTAATTTGGAGCTCTGTAAGAAAGGAACTTATATCCGTTCTCAATATAACAGGCGTGAGTTGATTACATTGATCCGTGTAGATATAAGATCTTTTATAGCCTCTTTTGTAGTAACGGTAGTGTTTGTACAACAATTTGTATGTACATCTAAATTTAATCGCTATTATTCCAAATATAAAACTACATTTATATCTGTTGTAACCTTCGACCTATTTACCTATGCCCAGCTGGGTATCAACGAACAAAATTGAACAAAATTGATTCTAATATTTAAGCTGTCATATTTTGATGTATACACTAAAACTCCTATGATAATTATTCTATCATTATAACTTGTATAACCACAAACTGGATGTTCATAAGTACTATTACCTCATATCAGGTATATGTATGTTTGTATTAATATATCATAATATCTATATTATACTTGTATGACTACACTACAGAAATAATATGAACACTTATATGTATAAACTATCATATATACTTATATGTAGATCTACATTGTAGACTTTCATAGTTACACATGATGTAAGATGTAATCAATCTTAGGAGCCGTGATTTAAGATGTAATCAATCTTAGGAGCCGTGATGTAAGATGTAATCAATCTTAGGAGCCGTGATGTAAGATGTAATCAATCTTAGGAGCCGTGATGTAAGATGTAATCAATCTTAGGAGCCGTGATTTAAGATGTAATCAATCTTATAAGCCGTGATTTAAGATGTAATCAATCTTAGGAGCCGTGATTTAAGATGTAATCAATCTTATAAGCCGTGATTTAAGATGTAATCAATCTTAGGAGCCGTGAATTAAGATGAAATCAATCTCAGGAGCCGTGATGTAAGATGTAATAAATCTTAGGAGCCGTAATTTAAGATGTAATCAATCTTAGGAGCCGTGATGTAAGATGTAATAAAATCTTAGGAGCCGTGATTTAAGATGTAATCAATCTTAGGAGCCGTGATGTAAGATGTAATCAATCTTAGGAGCCGTGATTTAATATGTAATCAATCTTAGGAGCCGTGATGTAAGATGTAATCACTCTTAGGAGCCGTGATGTAAGATGTAATAAAATCTTAGGAGCCGTGATTTAAGATGTAATTACAATGAGGAACCTTACATTTAAGTTCTAATTAGACTTTTAATACGTTGTGTAAGATATCATTACGCGAAGGAACCGTGATGTAAGAATGTGAACAAGAAGATTTATCGGTCATTTAACAGGATGGAATTAGTCTAGGATAAAGTCCTAAATTTTCAGAAAGAAGAGAAATATTTTGTTATATTCAATTTTGAAATTAACATAAATACGATAATTTCGTCAATTTCTTCCACTAAACGACAAAACTATACTAAAGAAATCTCTTGATATCAATATCAATTGTGATGAATGTTTTGACGGGGAATGAACATTTCATAAACCATACATATTTAAGAGATCAACAGATCAAGCATAGGATGATAAATTGTGGGACTGGTCACCACTTATCAAATATTTCTCAGGTGGTCAAATGTACTGGTTAAAGGCAAACATGTACCCTGTCACCCTAGGTGTGTGGTAAAACACGGACTTGTTATTTTTACTTCTTAACCAAGTATTGTGTTTCAATCAAACACTCAGCGCATACAATTCACACTTGAGTTTAATTCATGGATGCATTTGCGTTTCTTAAATATCACTTTACAAGTTTTGACTCTTAACATCTTTAAAAAAAGATCAAATATATATTGAGATGTATCAGAGATCACAGATAAAAAATAACTAACTTTCTAGCTTATATCTGGATACTTACAACAAACATTAAACCAATTTACGTAATAGTGACATCAGACCCGATTTAACAAATCACGTGGTACAATTAATGTGGAAATCAAAACTCATCCAAATTGCTTTCTTCACATTTATACAAAAGTAATCTGATAAATTAGATTTCAATATCGTTCTTCGTTCAATGTCTCCTAACTTGTTTTTGATACTTTTGATCCAAACGTTTGATATCTAAAAGCGTCACCAAAATGTTAGATAGTAGCATTTGTAACAACCCATACCATAACGTCCGATGTTCATTGTTGATGTTTTCAATGACAGGTAGATCTAGGTCTATAAATTTGAAGGTCATTTCAATCACTGTAGGAAATCGCAGTCAATAGCGGTTAACATTAAGACGAATCAATTGACTTATTAATATCAATGTTGACGAATCTGTCAGTCCTTTACACACACTTATTGACAGTGCATATTCAGTAATAATGAATCACCTAAGTTCTGGCACTAACACATTGAATGTTTGGTGTCTGGGTGTATAATGAGAGTCTCAATGCATTAGACTAGAGATCAGTTAAAGAAATATTCAGAATGTCAAATCTTTCAAACTAAATACATTTCATTGAGAACACATCTTAAATTCTGTAAGAGGTATTTTCTTTATCGAAACGTTTGAAAAGCTTTCATTGTAAAATTACCCGTGTATGCTCCACTTATCTTCTTAACAAACGAAACATGACGGAGTAGTGAACAGGAGGTTAGTTCATGATATTTTCAGGGTCGGTTTTTTACTTAATGACTAGTATTACTTGTCAGAATACACAATTAACGCTGATAAAATCATACGGGTGTTTTTTTTAAAACTACTTATACATCCGTGTCGATTCAATACAAAATGGTAAATATATGATTAATATCTTGGTACAAGATTTGTATCATAATTAACGATGTATTCAGACTTTTCTTATTTTGAAATACTTTGTATATTTTTCTTTTTCGAAGTCATGCCTAGTTCGAATTGACATTGAATATATTAAGAAAATCGATACGAAATCAAACCTAGTGGCTAATATCAAAATCTGACGTAAACACAAGATAATGAAATGTTAATTACGTGAAATAAATCTGTGATATTAAAGCATTTTCCAGACCACTTTGTGTTATATTTTACACCAACTAGATGTGTGTTATCTGCCTACTTCGGCACCCAATCATATTATTTCATATTCTCCTTAAAAACAATATGATACTGAAGTTGTGACAATGAAAACAAATAGAACCTATACATTGACCAGATTATCAACATGACGTGAATTATACTTAACCAGTAAGGAAGCTTTGATACTATTGTAACTATCAAACCTTACATCAGTGACTTAACCTCGTTGATAGATTACTTCTGATAAGTCACAATAAACAAGTGTCGTAACCATTTTGATACATGTATACTATGTAACCATGAAGATGTCGTTATGCCGCGAGGGATTCCGTCACCATTTTGATACATGTATACTATGTAACGATGAAGATGTCGTTATGCCCCGAGGGCTTCCGTCACCATTTTGATACATGTATACTATGTAACCATGGAGATGTCGTTATGCCCCGAGGGTTTCTGTAGTGAAGTAAATTTATTGTTAAACACTGAATAATATGTATTATTTTCGTTTCTTTGCGAAATTCATAATTGACATAATAGACATTATTTTTTATGATTTGTTTATGTGTCATCCTCTGTTGTTTCATGGCTTGATTTGTTTATGTGTCATCCTCTGTTGTTTCATGGCTTGATTTGTGTTTGGAAAATGACAAAATATTAAGTGATCATAAAATAACTAAATATCAATCATACATAACAGATACAGTGCCGAAAACGGAATCATGGCAATCACGCGTAACACTATATGAGTTACAGTGCAGAAAACGGAATCATGGCAATCACGCGTAACACTATGTTAGGAAATACTAATTGATAAAGGTAGTAGTGATTAACAGGAACATTTCGAACATACATTAATATAAAAGAGAAGGTAAAAATAAGTCTATAAATCACAGATGGGTTTTTAAAGTTGATGTTTTTTCAAGTGCAAATAACTTTCAAAAACAAATGTGAGCCATATTTATATGATAATATGCAAATCATCCATTCTTATCATATAGATTTCGATATATTTACTGATATACAGACCTTGTTGAAATCCCTAAGTTGTTCCAGCTTGGATGGTCTCCTTTTGTTTGGATGCAGCGGCTGAAGGCTGTTAGTTGCCATCACTTTAGACACGACATTGACCAAGGACAAACGTTTGTGCACTTTTGACCACTCGGACTTGGATGCCGTAACAGCACTGTCCGAGTCGTGTTTCCGAGTCCTAGGCATGACCACTCCTCCTGTCGAAAGACTCCATTTCCTTGCGTCTTTTCCTTCTTTGAAAACAGGTCCATCAGTATCATCAAAGTCATCCGACGTAAATACAGAATTTGAACTATCACGTGATTTCCATCGAGTTTTAGGTGTTTTAATGGTGGGGCGACGGATGCCTAAACGACTCAATGTCGAGGAGTTTTCAGGAACACTTGCGCTTCGCTTTTCCTTCAGTATTTCGTTACCGTTACTCTGTTTAGACGTTTGCTGTTCATCATTGCTCTTATGTCTTGGAGTTTTTGGACCATCTCTTTGTTTTGGTGTTGTAGAACCCTCCCTTGGTTTAGGGGTTATGTGTCCGTCTCGTGATTTAAGGGCCAAACGTTCGTCAGTTTCCCTAGGAGAAGGGAGGTACTGGACAGAGGTGCCCTTGGTTGAGGATCGTCGTCGATTGTCCATATTTTTCTTTTCAGTCATTGTTGATATAGATAATGGCGGTGTGTCAACACGTAAGTCGTACAAGTATACAGAGACATATGTTTCTATTGTGTATACCACTGTGCCAATGAACTCGAACCAATTAGGTATCTAAACAACGGGAAATAATAATGTCGTTCCCATTCTAAAGAGAGCGTGTTGTCAGAGTAGATATTTGCTATCCGTGTCTCAAGTGAAATTGTTTCTATTCTTTGTATAGAACGATATATGTTGTAAACGTCACGCCTTAAATATCCCGGCACTCAATCTTTCCCTAACATTTAGTCCGAGATTTAGGGTGGAATCCGCCTCCTTATGTAGCCACACGGATCTATCACTGATAACAGACAACACTTTACTAATCCATAAACTTGGCATGTCTCTTAATGTGGTGATATACGATGCCGATTATCACCGATATAAGGAAGCTTCAGTCCGTGCTTTCCTTCTAATAGCTATATAATTACCTGTTCAGCTTTTTAGTTGGATTTTACCGAAATTTACGATTAGCGTTCCTATCTGAGTATGGTGATTCCGCTTGTTTCATCGATTGCTGGTACACAGGGTGTCAAATATTGAGTCTACAAACAGATTGTTATCAGACTGTGTGACGACAGGTGTCAGTTCTCATGTTTTACCCATCACACGGTATCGGTTAACAAGCTCACTCATTATGATATCATTAACACCCGCATAACACGAGTTCACACATGTGAAACTCGTCTCTGATTAATAATGAATCATGTTCTGATTCCATTTGATGTTGATATATGTGATTCCGTCTTGACCCAAGCAGCGCCTCCTGGACGGTATTAGGACACAAAAGAGGTCAACTATTCTGTGATTTTTTCAGCCTTGTTTCAAACTTTAGAATATATATCATTGATGTTCACAGGTAGATTCAATTCCATTATCCATGTCCATTTAAAGTAACTGTAATAGAATTGGGATTTTTAAAGGGTTAACTTCAGCCCGAGGAAATATTCTCGTCAAAATATATATATTCCAATAGTAAAACACTTGATTCTATCAAGAGCTTTATTTATACGTGTTCTTAAAGTATCGAGGGTGTACTGTACAGTAGGCGTCAGGTTATAATTGGCACACGCTGGTAATTCAATATCACACCTCAATGTTTTTTATCATAGCGCATTTCAAATGTACCGATAGCATATGTACATAGCACTTAGGAAGGAAATGTTTTTAAAAATACCATTTCGGTATGGATTAAAGGTACGAGTGTCCTGTAGATCATAGAGAATTCGCTCCTCCTTGCCTCGCATAGTTACAGCATTTTCAGGTTTCCTTACTAACATATTACCAGATGTCTTACTATCTGTATTGTAAACCTATGAGACCTGTACATGTCTTGTGTCGGTAATGTTCACTGTCTGTATCTGTTTGACTTATATACTTGTTTCAAAATTAGGTATGAATTTAACTTTTTGTACGATAGACAGCTATGTTATATGTTTGATGTTGCTATCAATGACGATTTCTTGTGTGTTCTGGCATATAGTTACCGTGTCGTATATATTACATGGAGTTCTAACGTATAATTATATGAAACCAAGTCATGGCGGCCGCGCTGATTTCTCGTCAATCACAGATGTTCTAAGGGGGACTGGACGTATTTCTTAGGAAGGCTTTTCATTTGTTCTGGTCTCAAATATTTTGCGTGTTTATCTATAGTGTGTTTACTAGTCTAATGTTAACTGTGTATTATTTCTGCTGATATGCAATTCCTTACATTAACTGGGCTTTCTAGATAAGGAAACCCGGATAGCACTCTATAAATCTTTCTAAAGAAGAAACACTATCTAATCATACTTCAGTATTATACTCCTATTGCTAATTAATGATACGGATCTCCTACATTTATATCGCTTTCCTAAACTGCACAATATTCCATATAAACAAGGTTTTATTGCTGATTGGTCTACCTGTTCATCCTAACTTTTTTCCAAACTTTTAAGTACCATTCCTTATACTACCTGGGTTACAGTCTCATTGTGATACTGTTTTCTCAAGAAAAGTGATTAATAATATTGATTTAAAAATATTCCATAGAGCTTTTGACCAAACTTCCACAATCACCTCTGAAAAACCTGTCCAATAAGAGCACTTGATATTTTCACTCTGTACACCATTATCTCCCATTCTGAACTGAAAGAAGGTCTTCGTCCTCTTATTAAGCGAGCTTTCTTTCCCAGAAAGGTGAACGATGGTACAAGTATATGGATGTGAATTATATTGACACTTAATTCATGAAAAATACGTCTAAATCTAAGAAGAAATGTACAGAGGACGAAATCTTTCAAATAATTGATTTTCTGGAAGATGACATTTTCGTTGAGTTTGATGGTACGATCCTCCGGCAGACTATTGGCATATCTATGAGAACTAACTATACGCCGGTATCGGCTGATCTATTTTTGTTTCCATACGAGGCTGAATTTATAGTAGATCTTATCAAAACAGGTCACAAAGGTTTTGCAAAGTCGTTTAATTTCCTTTTAGATAATGTTGTGTTGTCGCTATTCTCCCTTGCTTTATGTCATGATGTGGGTATTGCCGGCCCAATATAACGTTCTGATTATAATGTTTTAAAGTCATTGCAATATTAGATAGTGGGTTAATTATATTAGCTAGTACTCCACAGTGAGCTGCTTCGATTTATTCACAAATATATAGGACATTATAAATGTATCATAATGTAAACATTGTGTTGCAAATCTTGCAAAATACTAATTGCATTTCATTTAATATCACACGGCTTAAAATAGATCGTTAAAAACTCTTTTATTGTAACGTTAAATGCATGTCTTATCTTCAAGTTAATAGAAATATTTATCATTTGACGTGCAAAAATTAAAAAAATAAAAACACACAATCTGGAGTAAGTCAGTCCGAATTACAAATAGAATAGATATAAGTAGGTAATGGATGTTATATAATGACATGTAATGAAAACGTGTCGTGTTTGTATTATAACTTTCTTTACATTTAGTCTTAGTTGTTATCTGACCTAGTTTAGGTATTACTTTGAAAAGAGTCTATTGAATAGTAGTACTTTAATTGATTTAGCTTCATTGAGATGTAAAATACATTTATGCATCACTAACTTTTAAGAAAATAAAATTACTTTCAAGTCATTGATAACGGTTACCTGTCTAAGCATACGTAAACATGTAAGTGTCAATTGTTGTTTTATAATGATTGACCATCACTTTTTTCTAGAGGACGCAATCCGCAGTCACAATTCAACAGTACAAAATTTTAGTAAACCATTATACTGTAAGGTAAAGGACAGAGAAATAACTGTGAGGTTAAGGACAGAGCAGTAATTGTGAGGTTAAGGACAGAGCAGTAATTGTGAGGTTAGGGACAGAGCAGTAATTGTGAGATTAAGAACAGAACAGTAACTGTGAGGTTAAGGACAGAGCAGTTACTGTGAGGTTAAGGACAGAGCAGTAAATGTGAGGTTAAGGACAGAGCAGTAACTGTGGGGTTAAGTATAGAGAAATAGCTGTAAGCTTAAGGACGGAGCAGTAACTGTGAGGTTAAGGACAGAACAGTTGCTGTGAGGACAGAGCAGTTACTGTGATGATAAGGACAGAGTAGTAAGTGTGAGGTTAAGGACAGAGCAGTAACTTTTGAGGTTAAGGACAGAGCAGTAGCTGTGAGGTTAAAGACAGAGCAGTAACTGTGAGGTTAAGGACAGAGCAGTAACTGTGAGGTTAAAGACAGAGCAGTAACTGTGAAGTTAAGGACAGAGCAGTAACTGTGAGGTTAAGGACAGAACAGTAACTGTGAGGTTAAGGACAGAGCAGTAACTGTGAGGTTAAGGACATAACAGTAACCGTGAGATTCAGACTGAACAGTAACTGTGAGGTTAAGGACAGGGTAAAAACTGTGAAGTTAAGGACAGAGCAGTAACGGTTAGGTTTAGGACAGAGCAGTTACTGTGAGGTTAAGGACAGAGCAGTTACTGTGAAGTAAAGGGCAGAGCAGTAACTGTGAGGTTATGGACATAGTAGTAACTATGATGTTAAGGACAGAGCAGTTGCTGTGATGTTAAGGACAGAGCAGTTCAGGTGAGGTTAAGGACAGAGCAGTTACTGTATGGTTAAGGACAGAGCAGTAACGGTGAGGTTAAGGACAGAGAAGTAACTGTGAGATTAAGAACAGAACAGTAACTGTGAGGATGAGGACAGAGAAATAACTATGAGGTTAAGGACAGAGCAGTAACGTAACTGTGAGGTTAAGGACAGGTCAGTAATTGTGAGGTTAAGGACAGAACAGTTACTGTAAGGTTAACAACAGAACAGTATCTTTGGGGTTAAGGATGGAGAAATAGCTGTAAGCTGAAGGACGGAGCAGTAACTGTGAGGTTAAGGACAGAACAGTAGCTGTGAGGACAGAGCAGTTACTGTGAGGTTAAGGACAGAGCAGTAAGTGTGAGGTTAAGGACAGAGCAGTAACTGTGATGTTAAGGATAGAGAAATAACTGTGAGGTTAAGGACAGAACAGTAACTATGAGGTTAAGGACAGAGCAGTAACTGTGATGTTAAGGAGAGAACAGTAACTGTAAGGTTAAGGACAGAGTAATAACTGTGAGGTTAAGGACAGAGCAGTAACTGTGAGGTTAAGGACAGAACAGTTGCTGTGAGGACAGAGCAGTTACTGTGAGGTTAAGGACAGAGCAGTAAGTGTGAGGTTAAGGACAGAGCAGTAACTGTGATGTTAAGGATAGAGAAATAACTGTGAGGTTAAGGACAGAACAGTAACTGTGAGGTTAAGGACAGAGCAGTAACTGTGATGTTAAGGATAGAGAAATAACTGTGAGGTTAAGGACAGAGCAGTAACTGTGATGTTAAGGAGAGAACAGTAACTGTAAGGTTAAGGACAGAGCAGTAACTGTGAGGTTAAGGACATAACAGTAACCGTGAGATTAAGACTGAACAGCAACTGTGAGGTTAAGGACAGAGCAGTAACTG